CTAACACATGAACCGATATGAGCATCTTTTATGCCAATGATTCTAGTCCTAATCCAAAGGACTAAAATTAAAATGCAAGGCTCTTTTTTGAATCTTTTCTCGCTTTATAAAAGAGGGCCTAAAAAAATTGGCCTACTTTACTAACCGAATGGGTTCTTAATTCCTCTGCCTAAAGGACGATTTCAGCAACAATAACAACACATAGGCCACCCAGCAATATACAGCAACCAGCATAAGCAATGATTACCCCGCTTATCGAGGAACATATACTCATTTAGCATCATCGTCATAACAAGACATGAGAAATAATTTTCGTCCACTTGGTTATGGTGGTGACACATAGAGTTTTCGTTGCGGTTGGCAGATGAGGCTTGCAACTGCAGGGGGCTTGCCCAACGAGTACATAGTGTTTTTTAAAACCATTCTCCGGCTAACAGAAATCTTTTTTTGGATAGATCACATTAATTTAAGTGGCCAGTAATACATTGACTATTGAATTGAATTGAATATGAGCTTCAGACTCGCTGTCCCACAGAATTTTCGGACTCGCTGTCCCAACAAAAATCTAGAATAGTAACGTTGAGGTTGTCGTGACCGAAGAATAGCCCGACTAACTAACCTCTGATTATGATGATGATTATCTTCCAATCGTCTACAATACGAAGATCATTATCGTAATCCCTGGACACCCGAAGTCCATCCATCAGAGTTGCCTATTATCTTCCATCTTTAATTAAATCCAAATTATCTCATTTAAAAACGAGTAGATTGTAATGCAATATTTTAACTCCCAGGAAAGAGAGAATTCTACTCGTTTCATAAGGATTGGTAGGGCCTTATGGAGACCCTGACAGCGACTAAGCTTACCCCAGCCGACGAGAAAACCACGTAACACAATTATGGGTTCTTGAAGGTCCGTACCACATGAATGAACTGCAATTTAATATTTATACCCTACACCACAAGGTGGTCAGGGTATTATGTCTTTGTGCATTTGTTTTTAACAGGCAAAAGGAAACGAGATAGATCCATAGTTCATTTTGATGATCTGCATAGAATCACAGTCGAGTCGATTTATGCATGTCCGTCCGTCTGTCCATGTATTTTTGTAAACAAAGTACAGTTCGCATTTATTGCCCTATCCAGATGAAATTTTGCACAAATCATTTGTTTGGCCAAAGGACGAACCCTATTGAAATTGGAGATAATCGGTCAAAATTTCGATATAGCTTCCATATATATCTTCGTCCGATTTGCCTTTTATTGTGCACCAAACGTGTAATATCAGCCCGAATAGTATGGAATTTCGCACATACAACCAAATTAGGTCTGAAAATAAGTATGCCAAATTTGATAGAAATCGGTTCAGATATAGCTATAGCTCCCATATATACTGTTCATCCGATTTGTTATATTTGTTACCCATAGCCGTAATATGCACTCCGTAACAACGATATTCAGGGAAATATATGAAATACAGCTCAGAAATATCTTTGCCAAATTTTATCGAGATCGGTTCCGAATTGGATGTAGCTCCCATATATATCTTTATCCGATTTCAAATTAATTGCGCACCAAATGGGCAAGACAAGTCCGAATTTAAAAGATACAAATGCTTCGGCATATTTAGTCCTTTAAACTATAATTATAATCATAGCGTGTATGATTGAATTATCCCATAAAAACTTTTAATTGCTATGCGGAGTTCTATTAAATTAGCAAAGTGGTGTAGGTATCATAAAGACGGCCCCGCCCGACTTTAAAACTTTCTTTACTGGTTTTATATGCATTTGCGAAGTGGAGCCGGAGCTCTTCTGGGTGTAGAAAAAACAAAGTGATGATGATAAGGTCAAGTGGACTATAAATGGTTAGCAAAATTCGCTCACGATCACTCCCTCTCCAACAGTTCACAGGTACAGCAAGCAGCAAGCAAATTTTAATACCCTATACCACATAGTGGTAAGGGTATTATGTCTTTGCGCATTTGTTTGTAACATGGAGAAGGAAGCGAGACAGACCCATAATTACTTTTGAGGATATTCATAGAATCACTTTCTGAGTCGATTTATGCATGTCGTCCGTCTGTCCATGTACTTTGGTGAGCAAAATGCAGGACGCATTTATTATCCGATTTAGATGAAATTTTCCAAACAATATTTGTTTGGTCCAAGGACAAACCCTATTGAAATTGGTGATAATCAGTTCAAATTTAGGTGTAGCTCCCATATATATCTTCAACCGATTTCGGGTTAATTCTGCACCAAATATCAATATTAATCCAATTGACCTGAATTTTGGGACAATCCAATTTGGCAATTCAGTCGAGAAGCAAGTACATCAAATTTGGTAAAAATTGGGTCAGATATAGTTATAGCCTCATATGCATAATATGCACTCCACAGCAATGATCTATGGTACCAAATATCAGATAAATAAGATTTAGATATAGCTATCATATATATCTTTATCCGATATTAGGTTTATTGTGCACCAAACAAAATTAACTGAATCTTGGCAATTCCGACTGAATTCATCCTAGAAACAAGTACATCTAATTTGGCGAAGATCGGTTCAGATATAGCTATAGCTCCCACATATACAGGGTGAGATGAAAAGATTGCAATCAACTTTAGACTGTCATTTCTAAACCACTCGTCTGACAGCTGTTAAAATTATTCTAGAGGCAGCTCATTATATGGTTTACAAGCGTACAAAAGCATTTTGGTGAGAATTTTCCAGAAAAAAAATATTTGCGATGGAATTCAAGCGGACAGTGTGATTTCTTTATATTTGTCTGAAAAACCCCAAGTGAAAACAGCAACATCAGTAGGAATGGTTCGAAATGTAAAGAAGCGACTTGATCGAAACCCGCGTCGTGAAGGAAAAATGAACATGTCGCAATATATAGCTCGGAGTAAAGCCATTGAAATTCCATAAAGTGCAAGAACTTACACCGCAACTGAAAGAAAATAGACTTAAAAGCGCTAAAGCGTTGCTTCGCTTGGCCGAAAGTGGTGAACTGCCGAATATGGTTTTCTCCAATGAGAAAACATTTGTTGCCCAGCAGTTTGTAAATAAACAAAATGATCATGTTTAATTGCCAAAGACGTCAGCTGAAAATGTGCACCCTCGGTTGGCCACCAGGACTCAAGCACAGGCCATGGTGATGTTGTGGGCCGCCATAACAGCCGATGGTCGCTCTCCGCTCGTATTAATCGACCGTGGCATCAGAATAAATGCCGAATATTATCGCGAAAATATTCTGGAGGGTGTATTAAAGCCTTGGGCACGCAAACATTTTGGCCGCAGACCTTGGGCATTCCAACAGGACTCAGCACCATATCACTCAGCACGCGCCACCCAAGAATGAGGTTCCTTGCTTCATTTCTAGCTCACAATGGCCACCAAAATCTCCGAATACCAACCCGTTGGAAACCAACCGTTTGGAAAGCAAGGTTGGCACTAAAAAATACCAAAGTGTCGATCACCTCAAGCAAGCGCTTCCCCTGGAATGGGCCAAAATACCAACATTCAAATAGCAACATTCGGGCAGCGTGTGACGGTTTTATTGGCCGTTTGAAGGCCATAATTCGTGTCAAAGGTGACCAATTCGAATAGATCTAAACTTATTCTAAAATTTTATGGTATTTCCGAAATTTTTTGCATTCATTCAATAAAATTCAAAAAAAAAAATGTAAAAATTATGGCGTTTAATTTTGTTGCAGTTTTTTTTTATTTCACCCCAGCAATATTATTTGGTTCATAGTTGGTACGATCTACTTCACATATTTTGAGGCTAATTCGGCTACCACTCTAATGTTTCGAAAAGGAGTCACTCGGGAGCGCCCCGCTTTGCCCCGTCACAAAACAAAAGAGTGAAGAGTAAACTTCGTAAGAAAATCTTACTCTTCGAGCAATCCCGCTCGCGGTTAAGTTTCATTCCCGAGAGAAAACGAGCAAATATGTACTATGAAATAAAATCAATTTCTTGGTCAAGAGATTCTTGCTTTAAAAAGGGTTGACTGTGCCAACCACAAATAATAAATGAAAAAATTACAGCATTCTATATTATCTTTCTATTTGTATTTAAAAGTGTCTCTCTCTCTCTCTTGCGATACTGCTAGAGAATAGTATTCAAAATATCACCCATGCCTCTTATGATATGAACTTGCTCACTTCAATATGATAAAATATATATCCTTTAATTTTTATTAAATTTTTTCTAATTTTATTTTAGAATTTTCGTACGTATGTATATACATGATTTTTCCCAAATTGTGTTCAATACCTACTCAAAGATTCCAATACATATATATGCACGTATATATTTTTTGTACTTTTTTTTTAAATAAATATCATCATTATTTTATGTTAATAAATATCTCCATTATCACGCAATGTATGTTTGTATATTTTTGTCTACTTTTTATTTTGTTTTTTTTTCTCTTTTTACATTTTGGTGGCGAACAGAAAAATATAATTTAATTATCCTCTTAGTACTGACAATCTGTGTATTATAATTTTGAATTTTATATAATTCTTTTTTTTATTTTTTACAATTCTTAAAATTACAACAAAACAAAAAAAAAAAAAAAACAGGAAGAAAACAAAACAAACTATTTGATGGTGTAGTAGAAAGAAAGGCTATACACGTTGGGACTTATGATCTAAAGGAAAAATTACAATAACAACAAGTGTAAAAATAATTTTCTTATTTTCTTTTTTGTTCTCACATTCACATTTATCATTTCTATTTTGTTGGTAGTATTTCTGCAAGGATTCTAGACATTGTTTTAATTTACTTAAAAAATATGGTACAGATACAGATAACATTTTTCTCTTCTTTTTTTGGGGGGTTTTTAATTTATATTCCCTACTTATGAAATTCTTTGTATTTCGTTTAGGTTAGTTTCTTATTTCTTTCAATTTAATTTATATTTTCACAATAGCTTTTTTTTCTTGGAACTAAATCTACATTTCTCACATCATCATGGCATTTGTTTTTCTTATTTTTTTGTGTGTTTGGGAAGGGGTTAATGGACATTCGTATTTCGTTTATATTTTGCATTTTTTTTTGTTGAAACCCATTTTTATGACTTAGTCCTTAGTCCTGTTCATTACCATTCCCAACCATTGCGTCGTGGCAGCCATCAAAGCTCTATTCGAAGCTCGTTGTTAGTAACTCTGTGGTGTGTTTCTTTAACTATTTATAATTTAAAAGGGGGAGGAGGAGTAATAGGAGGGGTTGGGTGATTTGCACTTAATTATCATAATTTTGTTTAAATTATTTTTTTTTTGTTAAAAAAATGTTTAACATTTATACGAGGTAAATTTGCAACTACAGTTATTTATTATTTATTTTATTGATGGTTGTGTTTTCCGAAGAAATACTCTTCTCCGTTTTGGGCCATTCATCAATGCCATGCGAAAAGTACATGGCTGACTAACAGATATCCTGTTGATATGATAATGCTGCCAATCATAACGGGAAAACCAACTCTGTAAAAGGAAAAGTGAGGGGGAAGGGGGACATTAGAAGAGTATTTTAAAATTGACATTATTTTTAATACTTACTTGAAAAACTGCAAGAATGTAAACTTGTAACCGTGTTGCTCAGCAACACCGGCACAAACAACGTTCGCCGAAGCACCAATGAGAGTACCATTGCCTGGAAGAGTGCGGGAAGTCAAGAATGGTATTATTTATTTTGTATATATATCTTATCGCTATATACATATATAAAAGAGTAACCAGTAAGGAAAGGTCAAAAGTCGGGCGGGGTCGACTATATACCCTACACCAACTATGCTTATTTAGTACAGCTCACGTAACAAAAAAGTTTATATTGCTAATTTATGTAAAGTACATCATACCAACTATGAACCCAATAACATTTCTGCATACAGGGTGAGATGAAAAAACTGCAATCAAATTCAGACTTCTGTCATTTCTAAGCCACTCGTCCGACGGTTGTTAACACTATTCCAGAGACAGTACTTTATATTGTTTACAAGCGTACAAATTTTCCAGAAAAATGTTATTCGTGATGGAATTGAAGCGTGATAGTGTGATTTCTTTATATTTGGCTGGAAAATCACAAGTGGCAATCGTTAGAACACTCCAGCATTTAAATGTGAATAAATCTTTTGTGGCTCGTACCATCGCTCGTTACCGTGATACTGGTAGAGTAGCGCGGCGTCAAGGAAGTGGATGGAAGAAAACAGCAACATCAACAAAAATGCTTCGAAAAGTAAAGAAGCGATTTGATCGAAACCCGCGTCGCAGTGACCAAAAAAAGGCTCGTGAGCTGAACATATCGCAATATTCTATTCGGCAATATCGAAAAAAGAGCTCGGGGTAAAGCCATTGAAAAGTGCAAGAACTTACATCGCAACGGAAAAAAAATAGACTTCGTTTGGCCGAAAGTGGTGAACTGCCGAATTTGGTTTTCTCCGATGAGAAAACATTCGTTGTCCTGCAGTTTGTAAACAAACAAAGTGATCGTGTTAACTTGACAAAGAGGTCAGCTGAAAATGTGCACCTTCGATTGGCCACCAGAACTCAAGGGCCGGCCATGGTGATGGTGTGGACCGCCATAACAGCCGATGGTCGCTCTGCGTGGCATCAGAATCAATGCCGAATATTATCGCGAAAATATTCTGGAGGGTGTATTAAAGCCTTGGGCACGCAAACATTTTGGCCGCAGACCTTGGACATTCCAACAGGACTCAGCACCATCGTACTCAGCACGCGCCACCCAAGAATGGCTACAAAATGAGGTTCCTCGCTTTATTTTCACCGCACAATGGCTACCAAAATCTCCGGATACCAATCCGTTGGATTATTGTGTCTGGAGTATTTTAGAAAGCAAACGTTTCGCCAAAATACCGCAGAGCAACATTCGGGAAGCGTTTGACGGTTTCATTGGCAGTTTAAAGGCCATAATTCGAACAAATTTAAACTTATTTTAAAATTTGATGCTATTTCCGACATCTTTTGTTCTCAATCAATAAAATTTAAAAAAAGTATCGGTCGGTTTTGCCGACCCTATGTGGGGCAGGTAGCAAAAGAAATCCGATGTCTTTCATCCATATAACAGATATAGTGTTGATGGAAATATTGAGATGTACCATGTCTGGAATTGAATCGGACGTTGATTTCGCTATTCAAAATTTTGAGCGTTTGTGGGGGAGGTACCAGATGGAGTGGAGCAATATATTCCGTCTTACTGAAGACAAGCGGACTCTTACATCATATTTTTTAAGAGTTATAATTATTAAAAATGTTAAGCTTTTGTGGGAGAGGCCAATATTATCCATTTTGGCACGAGACCTAGAACTGACGCAAATATTATGATTTGCAAAATTAGAGCAAAATTAGATTATTGCTTTCCTTTCTGTGCAGAAAATATTTTTTTTTTTTGCAAATTTCGACCATTTGTGGAGGGGGTACCAAAAGGAGTGGACCGATTTTACCCATCTTAACACCAGACCGTGGGTTAATATAAATATTGGGATGTGTGAAATTTGAAGACAATCGGACTTTTACATCACGTTTTATGAGGGTTGTAATTATTCAAAATTTAGACCATTTGTGGGGGAGGTACTTGATGGGGTGGACTGATATTGTCCATTTTCGCATCAGATCTAGCACTGACGCAAGTATTAAGACTTGCAAAGTTGGAGCAAAATCGGATTATCCTGTCTCTTTCTGTGCAAAAAATATATTTTTTGAAAATTTCGACCTTTTGTGGGTATGTACCAGAAGGAGTGGACCGATATTGTCCATCTCCGATCTCGATCTAAGTTTGACAAAAATATTACGATGTACCAAGTTTGGATCAAATCGGATGCTCCCTTCGAGAGTTATCGTGTGTACCAGCCAGACAGACAAATGTTCTGAATCGGATTTGGTCCCTAAAACCGATATTTCGATTAACATTTAAAAATTATGGCGTTTAACTTTGTTGTCACCCTATATGTGTACCAATATACATATTGTACCGAATTCTATAGTTCCTCTTCAATAAATCTTATAATAAATAGTCGTTAGGACGAAAATTATGTTAATTTGTTACATACATAATTACAAAAGAACTTCGTTGTCAACTTACCTCCCAGACATGCTCCAAACGCCAGAGCCCATACCAACGGCTGTAGTGGCAAATTTAATGTATTATTTTGAGCTAATGATATGGTAATTTTGACCATCATTGTGGTCAATGGTATATTGTCTACAAAGGCCGAGGCTATGGCAGAAACCTAAGGGAAAATAATAACAAAAACAACAATAAATGAGATATTGAATTGTTATGCTCCTTCCAACACGCCAACTTACCCATAAAATAATTAACACAGCCACCATTAAACGCGACTCCTCGCCCACACCCAAAATAATATTTTCTGTCATATTACCAATCCACTCGATAAGGCCCAGCTCGGAAAGGGCCTCCATGAGAATAAAGAGAGCGGCGAAGAATAAAAGCGTTGACCACTCAACACGGGCCAATATCGCTTCCATATCCTCAATGTCGGCCAAAATAATTAGGAATATGGCACCCAACAAGGCGGTCCATCCCAGGGAGAGACGTTGCAACTCAGGAACCGAATGTAAGAAGAAGAGACTTATCACAAAGACCAAGGCACAAGAGCATTTGATGAGCAAAGGTTTGTTGCGTATGGGATACTAAAAAGAGACAGACAGATAAAGAGAGAGAGAGGAGTGAGATAAATTCTTAGGGCATCAATTGAAATGTTACCTTTGCTTGCAAATTCTCCAAAGTTTGTTGATAGTTAATGGCGGGTTCAACAGCTGTGGCCATTTTCTTTTTCAGTGAACGCTTCAAGCGATTCACCTTCTTCATGAGAGTCTGACGCACCAGCTCCTCATCTTTGGAGTATGAAGACAAACTGGCAGCCGCTCTCTTCCATACATGTATCTCATGTCGCAGCTCTTCTACTTCGGGTGATTCTTTGAATTGCAAATCACTGATGTTGCGGAACTTGTAGCGCAGTTGCAAATAGGATGTGAACATGACCAAGGCTACGCCAGGCAGCATGTGTAGGGTGAAGATGGCAAAGTTGACGCCCTGGAAAAAAGGCAATTACAGTTCAAATTGCATTTTAGGGATCTTCAAAGGCCACTTACATTTTTCGATATGAAACTATTGGAGGCAATGATAACATTTGGTGGATCACCCACTGGAGTCAAGGCACCACCAATATTCGAGTAGATAACCATACACATTAGTATGGGAACAGGGTTGAGGGACATAACCTCACACAGACGTATGGTAACGGGAGTCATCAGCAGTACCGTGGTCACATTGTCCAAGAAAGAAGATAATATGGCGGTGAACAGGCACAGACAGTTGATCAGAGGCCAGACATGACCATTGGTTATCTGAAAACGAGGATCACTGAGATTTAACAATTTCTTGCTTTGGAGAAGTTCCGCCTCACCTTGTAAGCATACACCGCCAAATAGTCAAACACACCCGTCTCCGAAAGAATGGCCACCAGAATCATCATGCCAAAGAGCAAAAGCAACGTTTCCACATCTATCCAACCCATAATGGTGACCATAGAGGGGCGTGAGTTCAGGGCTGCCAAAATACCCACCGACAAGGTGGAAGCTATGATGGCAGCAAAGGTGCGATTTACAATTTCCCAGATGATCATGACATAGAGACCACAGAGAACAACCGCGGCATAGATGACTCCCTCCTTTTTGTAAATCGGTGATTCGTCAATGCTCAACTGTAGCGGCAGCTCGGCATCGATGTTCGACACGAAGTGCAACGACAGTTCCGTCAGATTCGTATTGTTGGCATAATCACCTTCGAGCGGTTTCAACTGGAATTGATGGGCTTTGTGTGTTTCACGTGTGGTATCCAGGAACTCCGGATAGACCAGGTCAAGTTTCCAGATGGTCGAAACAATTTCATCGAAAGCCCTCTCACCCGATTCATTGTAATAGGCACGCTCCACATAAATTTCTAGCAAAGGTGGTGCTCGCTTGTGGGGATCTTGTACGGTTTCGGCTTCCTGCAGACGAAAAGCTCCCGTTAGGCTAAGGCCTATTCGGCTAAGTTCGGCGGTTGTAATGGGGAATACTACGATAAACAACAACATTAAATTCAATGCTATAAAGGAAAAATGCGACAGTTTTACCTCTTTCGGTACCATTTTTCGGTACACTTATCAGTTTCAGCTCGTCCACATGCTCATTGGTGGACATTAGGAATGCGGTGAATACACCCCATACCACCAGCAGCACAGCGATTTTGAACCAAATCAAATACTTTTTAATCTGCAGCAAATTAAAATTTTTTAGTTATTGTTGCTTTTTTCCAATTCCAAGCCCACTCACCTTTGAATGTCCATGATGCTCCGTCTCGTCCTGTTGATCTTCGTTGTTGTTTTCCACATCACGTCCATCCAAAATGCGAACTTGTCCCATCTCATTTGTGACATTAATGCCGATTTGTGAAAATACATTTGAATTTTTATTCTGGCCGCCGCTGCGGACAAAATGCACACCACTACCGTCGCCGATTTTGCCATTGTTGTGGTCATGATCGTCGGCATCATCGTTGGGCAATGGATCAACATCGGCGGGTTCATAGCCTGAGGGAAATTGGAATATAATTGAGTTCGGTGACATGTTTTTAATGAGTTAAAAAAAAAACTAATCATAGTTTTAACAAAGACGTGCTTTGAATACCCTCCACAATTTAGGACGAATTTGGCAATTTTCAAAAAAATAAAATCTGTTGAAATCTTAAAAATGTGGAATGTAGCCTCGTCGTATAGACGAGGTGGACCTGCATAGGCAACTTTTGTAATAAGCCATAATTATATAATATTCAAATGCGAAACATGAAAAAAAAAATTAAAAAATAACAAGTAAAAAAGAAGCTATGTTCGGCCGGGCCGAACTTTTTATACCCTCCAACATTTGAAAGAAACTTCAAAAATTTCAAAAAAAAAAAAAATCCGTCGGTAAATACCGCTTAAATGAAACCCGTTATATGGGCGCTATACGAAGACATGGTCCTCTTCTAGCGAATAAAGTACTCACAAGGAACTTCTTGTAAAGATTTTCAGACAATTCCGTTGAAAAATGTGGCTAAAATCATCAAAATACGGAATATCGCGAGGTGCCGTTATATGGGGGATATACGATATGGTGGACCTATATGGACAATTCTCTTTCAGGAGGTAAAGTGCTCGTAAAGAACTCCTTGTGTAGAATTTCAGACAATGCCATTGAAAAATGTGGCTAAAATCATCAAAATACCTAATATCGGAGGTACGATATCGTGGACCAGCCCATCGAACTTGACTTGCCTGCAGACAAAAGAGAGATCAGTGCGAAATTTTAGCTTCACATCTTATTAGTTTCGACTGCCTGTTTACAACAGACGGACAGAGTATATATACAGAATATATATACTTTGTTGGGTCTAAAATTTTTATTTCGATGAGTTACAAATGGAATGACGAATTTAATATACCCTTCATACTATGTATGGTGGGGGGTATAGAAAGAAGGAAAAACTAGTTAAAAAGTATCAGTCGGTTTGGCCGAAAGATGTATTCCCTCAGCCAATGTCTATTTGTTTACATATATATTGGCTTGCAACCCGAAAGGGTTGGTCATTATTCTCCATTTCGCACGTGACCTACTTCTGATATAAATAATGCAAGATGCCAGATTTGACCTATATAGATCACTTTCTACACTTTATATGAGATATGTGATGATTTTTGGAAAATGTTGATTCTGTAGAAATTTCGGGATGTGCAACATTTGATATGAATCGGATCCTTAAATCGCATTTTATGATTGTTTTAGTTATTCAAAATGTTATCCATTTATGGGGGAGGTACCAGAAGGAGTGGACCGATATCTATTATCTTCACAACAGATCTCGTGTTGATAGAAATATTGAGATGTGCCGAGTTTAAGAGAAATCGGTTGGCCATTTCGCGTTTTACGTGCTTAATGGCTATTCAACATTTTAACTCGTTGTGGGGGTGGTAACAGAAGGAGTGGACCGACATATCCTATCTGTACACCAGATCATGTGTTATCAAAAATATTGGGATATGTGACATTTGAAGACATTCGGACATTTTAAAAGTGTTATACTTATTAAAAATGTTGACCCTTTATGGGGGAGGTACTTGATGGAGTGGGCCGACGTTGACCATTTTCGCACCTAACATAGCACAGACACAAATATTTTGGTTGGCAAAATTTTGCACAAAAATCTCTTTAATTTTCTTTCGAACTCGACCTAAGTTTGACAATAATATTATTGATACTTCCAAACCTAGATCGACTCTAAATGCCTTTAAAACGGATTTGGCTCAAAGAGACCTAGGGTTTAAAACCGTTATTTCGAAGAGAAATGATATTATTCCGTACGAAACGATATATACCCTCTGTAGACATATGGCTGAGGGTATAATAAGACTCCCACTCTTCAAGCAATTCTACTCGCAAGCAAGTTTCAGTCTCGAGTGCATATGAGCAAATCTGTGGCCTGCATTTAATAAGTATTAGGGATACGTATTCAAAGACAAAGGTGAATTTTTAGACTCTTCGATTTTCGTGAAAAAGTTGACTAAAACCGATTTAAATTTCAGATTTTGATGATGATGAGATCTATTGTTTCACATATGGTCGCAAAAAAAATCTATCTTTTACGCGAAATACATAAACTGTTCTATTTGGTGTCATTTTTAGAAGAAATGATGTCATAAAAAAGTCGTCGCACAAAGTCTATAGAAACAAGATGTACTCATCTCAGGAAATGAAATAGTGTATTGTTTACCTATTTATCATGTATTTTCTGCGATTTTTTGAATGAATTATGTCGGGGTTTGCACCAGTGCCTGATCACTAAATGTTTCTCCAATTGTTATTTATAAAAGTCAATCTACTGCTGCACAGACTGGTCCGGAAAAGAATCCAGAATTTCTAATAATAACCAGTTAAAAATTTTTAAGTTCGGCCGGGCCAAGCTTTGAGTATCCTACACCAAATGGAACGAATTTGGAATTTTTTTAAAAGAAAAAGTCCGTTAACAATTCTATTCAAATCTTAAGAATGTAGAATATACGGAGTTGCCGTTATATTGGGGTCCATACGAAAACGTGGATGTGCATAGGCAATTTTTGTCATATCCATTATAGTATTCAAATACGAAATTTGAAATAATTTCGGTGAATTATGTCGCTAAAATCATCACAGTACCGAATATCGGAAGGTACCGTTATATGGGGGCTATGCAAAGACGTGGACCTGCACAAACAATTTTCTGTCTTAGGCTGTAGTATCCATTACGAATTTCAAATACCAAATTTGAAACAATTACGGAGAATAAGGTCGCTAAAATCATCAAAATACCGAAAATATCGGGAGGTAGCGTTATATGGGGGCTATACGAAGGCGTGGACGGTACGGATGTTTCCGCTTTAAAATGATCACTTTTAATGAGGAAAAAATTAAATTAGTACTCTTTAAAACACCAACAACTATTTTTTCCTTCTTCTTGCGAAAAAGTGAAACATTTCTCAACTGGTGCACTGTGCAATTGGAGAACTAAACAGCGTATGATTTTGAAATTTTTGGTTTTGAAGTAGAATTTTGTATGATACTTTAAAAGCTGTTTTTACACTCAAAGGCCAATCAGTTGATATAGCCGAGTTTTCCTTGAACATTTTGAATAAATTGTGTGAATCACACACACACACACGCACACCATACATTTTGTGTATTCTTATGAAAAATTATCTTCCGTTTATTTCTAGCGGATATTGAATTTCTTCTTTAACCGGAAGTTTGGAAAAACAAACAGATTCTATGCCAATGATAGGTAAATATTTGAAGAAGAGGGAGAAATGAAATATTAAAATTGCTATAAAAAGGATTCGCAGGGGATTAAATATAAATGTTAGAGAGTTCATTTTCAAATAAACTAAATTCAAAATTGTTCCCATAGATGCATATTTATTTTGAAAATATGGGAAAATCTTGTGAATTACTAAATATTTTATTAGATCTTGTAATGAAATGTAGCATTGAGTTCAGACATATTTATTTATTAAGAAAATGCGAAACTAAGTTCGCTTTGCCTAAGCGTCTCGAAAAAAACTATCTTCGATCAAATTAATTTTCAATTCATTTTCAACCTTGTTTATTGCTTGCTTACCATGTAAACGTTCATGTTCCTGACGAAAGGATGCTAAACTTGGATCCTGTCTGATGCGTTCCGGCAAGGCACGCCACACTTGTAAGGCACCTTCTGTAACTTCGCTGTAAAGAAAAAATGCACACGATAAGTCAATGCAAATGCAGGAATACAAAAAAAAAAAGAATATCCATATTGAGGTGACATACTTTCGAATAAAAGAATAAATATAGATATATATAGAATTGTAAGAAATATAAAACATATATATATATATATATATTTTATCAACATGACCGACCTACGCCAAGAAAGAAGTCGTTGCCTCTTAAACAGCAATTATCACAAAGTAAAGCAGACGTCAGTCAGTTGCTTGTGTTATGACTGCTGAGTGTTATCATTTTCCGTACTATGTGAGTATATGAGTGTGTGTATTCATTTCATTCACCAAAAAAATGTGGTTTTTAGGTTATGTTGAATATAATAAAGACACAATGTGCGCTTTGATATGCATTCGTTGTAGATATTGGCGGAAAATCAGGATAAAAAGAAATACTTGAGTAGAGGTTGGTTATATAAAGCACAGATTTGAGACATTTAATAATCAGATCATAAAGCCCGCCTCGAAAGAAAAACAACTAAATAATATCATAAACATATGACCTTCGCTAAAACTCAAAATTAACTACTGAGGTGGCCAGAGACAAGTTGAGAATTTTGGCTAGAAATTCTAGTCCTTTCCATCGAGATTTTGTCGAGAAACATTTTGCGCTCCCTTGGATGGAACAGTTTGTACACGATGTTTTACTTCCACGTGATAAAAAACTACTTTCTAATCAAACACCAACAACAACTTTTGAACATATAGTGTTCAGCTTATTGGGTGATGGAAAATAAAGTTAGTATAACTTTGGCTCAACTCAGTGCTAACATGACTTTGAGGCAGCAACGAAAATCCTTGGTAAAGATTTCTCGACATCTGTCATGGAATTTCGTTAAACTTCGGAAGAATTTAGAAAGCAAAGACAAGAAGAATTAGAATCTCTTGCGAATTTGGAGAATTTATTTTAAAGCTAGACAGACTAGCTAGGTAAGGGCAGCTTTGGATTTTTATACCCTACACCACAAGGTGGTCAGAGTATTATGTCTTTGTGCATTTGTCTGTAACAGGCAAAAGGAAACGAGATAGACCCATACTTCCTTTTGATGATCTGCATAGAATCACATTCTGAGTCGATTTATGCATGTCCGTCCGTCCGTTTGTCCGTCTGTCCATGTATTTTTTGTAAACAAAGCACAGTTCGTATTTATTGCCCTATCCAGATGAAAATTTACACAAATCATTTGTTTGGCCCAAGGACGAACCCTATTGAAACTGGAGATAATCGGTCAAAATTTATATAGCTCCCATATATATCTTCGTCCGATTTTCCTTTTATTGTGCAGCAAACGTGTAAGATCAGTCCGAATAGTATGGAATTTTGCACGTACGATCAGATTGGACCTGAAAATAAGTATGCCAAATTTGATCGAAATCGTTTCAGATATAGCTGTAGCTCCCATATATATTGTTCATCCGATTTGTTATTTTTGTCCTCCGCAGCCGTAATATGCACCCTGCAACAACAATATTTGGGGAAATATATCAAATGCAACACAGAAATACATTTGCTAAATTTTATCGAGATCGGTTCAGATTTGGATATAGCTCCCATATATAACTTCGTCCGATTTACATTTTATTTTGCACCAAACGTCTAATTTTTGCCCAAATTGGATGAAATGTGGCACTTACGACCGAATTGAGTCTAGAAGCTGGTATATCAAATTTGGTGAAGACCGGTTCAGATATAACTATAGCTCCCATATATACTGTTCGTCCGATTTGTTATATTTGTTACCCACAGCCGTAATATGCACTCCGTAACAACGATATTCAGGGAAATATATCAAATACAGCTCAGAAATATCTTTGCCAAATTTTATCGAGATCGGTTCCGATTTGGATATAGCTCCCATATATATTTTTATCAAATTTAAATTAATTGTGCACCAAATGGGCAATACAAGTCCGAATTTAAAAGATACAAATGCTTCGGCATATTTAGTCCTTTGAACTTTGAATTATAATTATAATCATAGCGTGTATGATTGAATTCTCCCATAAAACCTTTTAATTGTTATGTAGGGTATCATAAAGTCGGCCCGCCGGACTTTAAGACTTTCTTTACTGGTTAAATTGTCAGTTCTGAATAATAAAGGACTCTGTTTGAATTCGTCAGATATATTCGACCATATTCGGAACCATAAACGAAAACATTGAAAGGCATATAACTCTCAGGCAGAAGTTCGTAGAGTGAATACAATCATCCAAGTCGAAATTGGAGAATGCGAATTAGTTTAGAGGGCTCAATAGCTCTGTGAAATCCTGATGAACGTTCATGTGGTTATATGGAATGATTATGCCAAAATCCCAGACCCGGGCAGTCGGGTCTGGCCAAAAAGCTGACATATTAGCGGAGACGGCAGAATTCTTTCCGATGATCTCCGAAAATAGTAGACTTTTGTCCTGTACCAAACATAAACATAACCTAAAATTACAATTCGATCGGTGTATAATTGTGACCTATAGGGCGATTTCAAAATTAGAAAAATAAGAACAGTTTTTAGTCCTCCAAAGTATGGAGGGTATATTAAGTTTGTCATTCCGTTTGTAACTCATCGAAATAATAATTTTAGACTAACAAAGTATATACATTTTTGGCTTGACTCGAGCTTAGTAAATACTCTTCAATTTTTTTATTTTCGGAACCGGGACCCCGAATGTCCGGGTTCAAAACCTGGGCTGACCTGGATCCACTTACTCAATACAGACATTGACATCGTTGGAAAGCTTATAAACCTACCTATCCAACAAGTGATAGGGTTGTAGGAAACGGTTCAAAAATTATAGTCAAATCATCGATTTTTTGAACCCGGATTTTTTATAAAACACCCAAAAAGTCGAAGAAGGGCCCATTATGGGGGTCAACAATATTGATGTCAAATTATAGCTGACACTCTTACCATTCCAAAATGCTACAATCTGAGGTAATACCATTTCTGGGTAAGTGGATCCGGGTCTTGAAGCCGAACTTCGGGGTCAAAACCTGGGGTGTCCGGGTCAGTCCCCAAAGAAAAAATAGGTTTCCGGAATCAGGGGTAAAAATACCTACATCTGGAAAAACTTGATAATAAAAATAATAATTTTAGCCCTGTCCGTCCGTCTGCTGCACTCATGCTAGAGTCAGTCGAATTAAGATAGAAAGCTAAAATTTTGCCCAGATCAGTCTTTTGTCTGCAGGCAGGTCGAGTTCGAAGATGCGCTATATCGGTCCACGATACCATATAACCACCATAAAACGGTACCCCCCGATATTCGGTATTTTGATGATTTGCCAAATTTTTCAACGGAATTGACTGAATTATTAACGCAAAGTGTTCCCTGAGACCTGAGACCACTGGAAGAGAATTGTCTATCGCACCTCCCTTTATTCGGTATATTTATGATATTAGGAACATAATTCAGTGGAATTGTTTCAAATTCCGCACTTGAAAATCTTACTGGATACTACCGCCGATGACAAAAAATTAAGCAGGACCACGTCTTTGTATAGCCCCCATATAAAGATTTTCTTTTGAGCGGTACTTTTCGAAGAAAATTCTTGGAAAATTTTCAAGATCCTTCAAAATTGTGGTGGGTATTAAAAGTTCGGCCCGGCCGAACTTAGCTGATTTTTATACCCTCCACCATACTATGAAGGGTATTTTAACTTTGTCATTCCGTTTGTAACTCCTCGAAATACTCATGTCAGAGCCAACAAAGTATATATATTCTTGATCAGCATAAAATTTTAAGTCGATTTAGCAATGTCCGATGTCCTTCTTTCGAACGAATTGTGATACAACCCTAAAATTTTGCACACATGTTTATTTTTCCAGTAGGCAGGTTAAGTTCATAAATGGGCCATGTAGGTCCACGTTTTCATATAGCCCCCATATAACGGTACCTCCCGATATTCGGTATTGTGATGATTTTAGCGACATTATTCACGGGAATTGTTTTAAATTTGGTATTCGAAGTTCGTAATGGATACTACAGCCTATGACAGAAAGTTGTCTGTGCAGGTCCACGTCTTCGTATAGGCCCCATATATCAGTACGGTATTTTGACGATTTTAGGTACAATACCCACCGAAGTTGTTTGAGATGTCGTATTTGAACTTCGTAATGGATACTACAACCTATGACAGAAAGTTGTCTATGCTGGTCCAGGTCTTCGCACAGGTCCGATATAACGGTACCTCCCTATATGCGATATTTTGATGATTTTAGCTACATTATTCGCCGTTTATTTCATGTTTCAAATTTGAATATGGTAATGGCTTATGACAGACAATGCCTTTGTAGGTCCATGTCGTATAGAACCCAATATAACGAATATATTCGGTATTTTTAAAATTTTAACAGAATTTTTTGAGGATTTTATTTTTTTTTAAATTTCCAAATTCGTTCCAAATGGTGGAGTGTATTCAAAGTTCGGCCCGGCCGAACTTACTGCTTTTTAACTTGTTTACTTCTTCCCTTTATTACTTTGTGATCATTTTCCTACTAAGAATCTGTTTCTGGTCAACGGTGCTTATGGAATGACAGTTTACTTATTCATTCATAACTTTATATCTTACATTGTGAAGGTATTGCTTAGCATTCTGTTATGTCCATATGTTTTATTAAAGCCCCTCACACGGCAACTGCTGTGCTATAAAACTGCCAATTCGTCCCACTGTCTGTCTGGTCAACATCAGCATCTATCATTTATTGGCAAGCGTTGATATAAATAGCGTAATTTTCTTTGCATTTCATTCATAACATTTTCATTTATTTCTTCTTTTCCTCTCTTAGCATGGTTCGCTGTTGTTGTTGCTGTTATTATTTTAGTATGGTGGTCATTTGTTTGGTGGCAGTTACTTTTCCATGGATGGTCCATTGGTTGGGGCGCTGCGCCGCGTCGCTCTGTGCCATGCCTAGTTATTGTTATCTATGGAAATTTCCTTCTTTTCCGCTTGAAACGAATTCAATTGAAGCG